TTGGTGCACTAAGCTTGTAGTAGATATGGGTAACCTCTCGTCCCAGTGGGTATGTCCAACTTCATCACTGCTATGTCACAAATGCAACTACTCTTTCTCCCACTTTATTTAATTTGTCTAATGCGGGTTAGAGCCTTTTAAATTATATATAGTTTAATTTTGCATAATATTTTCATTTGAAACAATTCGGCATAATCTTTAATGTAATATTAATACATAAAGTTTATATATTTAAAAATAAATAAAATCAACGACTGGTTGCACAATCTTTTATATTTCTAAAATTTTATAGTACGTACTAACTTGTTTGGATTTATCAGGTTGAAGTGAAGAGGTGCATTTTTTTAATTGGTGGGCATGACATACAATGGGTTAAAACATTTGAGTCCAAGGTAATGTTACAAAATCAGTTTAACCCACAATCAAAAATTGAGATGGTCTACGTTGGTAGTAACATGAAAGTTGCATCAATGATTAAGCAAGACAAGAATTGCAACGTACACGGTCATCATTTTTTTTCATGGTATTTTTGGGCACGGCTTCGAAGCATATTCATGTCAAGGATTAAATTTGTAGAAGACACTCATGGTGATGAAATTTTAGGAAGACTAAAAAAGTTGCTAGCCTATGAAGCTAACGATTTAGTAGTTAACGAATGGGCTATGCTATGCAAAGGGAACAAGATAGTTGTATGTGACATTGGAGATAAAATGTTGAAGGTGATGAATGAATATGAGAAATGGAAGGAGAATGCAATAGCTAAAGGCTTTGACCAAGCGTTCAAAGATTATCATGATGAGATGCTTGATTCTGCTTCTACTTCACAACATCATCATCATCGATGTGCCCTTAAATACCCATTTAATTTTGATTGTGTCCCACAGAATGTAAAATGCCCTGAATGCTGTCACAGTATGCAAAAATTTGTCACTTTCAAGTGCTGTCACGACAATGTTGTTGATGATGATATTGATGATGACGATTCTGATTAGGATGTACTTAATTAGTTTGATATTGATGACACTTGGTGTATTTGCATGTGCATATGACAGTTTTTTTTAATTTGTTGCCAACATCATATCATTTGTAATAGAGGTTTAATTTTTTATGCTGAGTCATCAGTTTATTTTTTTTTTTGAAAGTGAGTCATCAGTTTATTTGGTTTCTCATTATATTGTGTTAAATTGTATGGCTTCTCATTCTTCAAAAAAAAAAAAAGTATGGCTTCTCATTCGGATAGGAAGCATTTTTCAATGATAATAATTCAATTAAATTGAGACATGCATGGACATTACGTACTATTAGTCGATATGAATATTTTTATAAAATCTAATTTTACTGTATAAAATTATAGATAATATAAACTATGGTTCTGGGGACTATTATTAAGTTGTTAATTTTAATCATATTTTCTTTGTTATTGAATTTCCATCATTTTGTGAGTTCTTTGATTCCCGTATCAAATTGTAGTGAACTATGGTAGCACACTAGTTCTTTTACCTTCAAGTTGTTGTTGTTATTACTACTACTACACAATTGTATGTTTCGTATGCGAGATGCATGAGTGCTATAATGCCAATAAAGGAAAATTGACGTTTTTGTCTCCTTAATTATATGCTTATATTATACTTTTCTCATATGAATTATTCATGTATCTACATTATTCCTTCAATTATTTTGAAAGTGAGGACTTTTCTCCCCTCTTTGTTAAATAGGCATTTGGACGGTTAAAAATAAAGGCAAAATAGGTATTCAAGTTATCTTCCTTCTCCAACAAATTATTGCTTATAAACCACCTAATTTTGACAAAGTTCCAGAGATTGTAATAAAGTATCTCTAGTATTGTCATAATATGTAAAAATTCGTCACTTTTAGGTGCCACCATGGCATAGTTGGTGATAGGGATTTCGATTATTATTATGAGTAGAGAGGAAGAATATAATAACAATGAAGTATAGCATTATTTCTTTGTTTATACCCTTCCTTTTTGTATTCTTGGACTGCATTGCAATTTGCAAGCATACATGAACAAAAAGATTAATTATTCTTATTTTCTCAAAAATTGCAGTCTTTTATTTATTCACTAATTTAGGAGCATGACCATTCCTTATTCTTATGATTAATTGTACACTCCACCATTATATTATTCAAATTCATAAAATATATTATCTTACACCAAAAAATTCATTATTCTAACACATAAACGGCTGCAACAGACGCCGTTATTGACTAATGGAATTTAGATCGAGTGTGTTCTAAGCAAAAACAAAAGAGCTCTTAGATTGTTTCCTAAAGTTTTGTTGAATGATCTCGATTTCCTTTATATGAGCATTGATATTTCCGTTATATGTAACAAATACATTATTCCTGATTAGTATTACATTGTTCAGTATAAGTATTACATTTTTCATCTTGACCTAACTCGTCTCACAAATAAGGATCCATGTGACAGTCTCACAAGAGAATCATTCTTTATTTTTGAGTGTCTATCATGTGATGAGACCGTCTTATGAATCTTTATTGGTGAGACGGGTCAAGTCAAGAAGAAAATATAATACATATACTGAACAATGTAATACTAATTAAGAATAAAGTATTTGTTACTTATAAGAGAAAATGTAATACGAAAAAATGTAATACTTCTAAATCAAAATGTAAATGTATTACATTTTTCTTTAAAAGTATTACACTTTCCCTTATAAGTAACAAACACTTTATTCTTAATTAGTATTACATTTTTCTGTTTAAATATTACATTTTCATCTTGACATGACCTGTCTCACGGACAAGAATTTGTGAGACGATCTTACACAAGTTTTTGTCTTATTTTTGGTTCGTTAAGTTTTACAATAGTATAGTAGCAACTTTGTTTAATTTTCTTTACTTAGTTCCTCCTACATAAACTTCTTCCTCACCCTCTACTTTAAAGAAATTAAAGTTATATATTCTTTCCTCACCCTCTACTTTGGTCTAAAAGTTGCATCTTTTATTTAAGCAGCTTGAATTGCACTCTGATGAATAAGCCCACTGTGAGTCTGTGAGCAGTGCTAAAGCATGAAGGGATCACATAAATTTGCACTCTAACAGCTAATTTCCTTAATTAAAACTAATAGCTCTTTTCACTTTTCTTTTATATTTGGAGTGTGTTGCAAGAAAAAAATATAACAACTTTAATGTCCTAAATATTTTGTGAACTATTCTTGATTTCCTTTAATTTGTTTTATATGATTATTGATATTTTCTTGTATTGGGAGTGAATTGAAATACTCCATGTCATGGAGAGTACTTAAGGATAGAGCATTAGGTGAAGATTGATATTGTTAAATTTCCTCAATGTTAGACAGTATTTTACTTCTTGGTGGGAAATTAAAGATAAAATAATTTATTCTTTATGATATTAAAAATTAAAATATATGGTATATAATTATTAAGAGTTAATTCCATATTTGGTCCTAGATTTATAGGTGGCAGTCCACTTTTAGTTTTTTTTTATCAAAACATCCTTTTTGGTCCTAGTATTATTATGGCATGACTAATTTTTGTCCTCTATAAAGAAAACATTGAAATTGCGTTAAATACAAGTGCATTTTGCTCTTCAATTATGAATTTTTTTTTTCAAAAAAGAAACATAAAATATATACGGGTCAACACACTTTGTATTAAAAAGATCAAAATGTCTTATTTAACGCAATTTCAATGATTTTTTTGATAGAAGATCAAAATTGGTCATGTCACAATAATATTAGGATTAAAAATTGATGTTCTGATAAAAAAGGACTAAAAATGGACTGACACTTATAAATCTAGGACCAAAAATGGAATCATCTCATTTATTAATTAAATTTGGTATATCTATACTCACCATACTATATACATAGTTAAAGCAAATAAATTGATTCCACTTATTTGCTCACAATTGAAGCAAAGAACTGTCTCTTTTCATCTGATCCAATTCCATTTTTATGCTATATATATAAGAAGTTAGGCACACAATTGGTTCACAAACCACACCAATTTCTCTGCTCTTTCCAGGCATTAATCTTGCTAGCTCTCTTTACAAACCAGCCTTTGTCTGTATCAAAGATGGCAGTTTCAGACATTAATGAAAGTGTTATCTTGGAAGATGTTATGAGTACACATGATTCAAATGGCAAAGAAGATTTCAAAATTAATATTATCTTCGATTTGGTGAAGAGGATTCTTTATCCTACCACGGTTTGTGTATTTACTATTAATTTACTGTTAAAGTACTTTAAATTTTAATTTGTACAAGTTTTAATACATATATAACAAGTATTTGTTAGAAGTTTTATGATATATATAAGTTTCATGTTTTATGGAATTCTAACTATTTAAATCTTGATATATGTTATATATATTGAATGAGGTATGTAAGAACTTGGTTGTTAGGTGGGAATTTATTCTCTATGATTTATTATACAGTATATAGATTTCTCAAGATTATTTTTATGAATAGATTGCAGTACAAAAGCATTCATTGTATATCTAACTATCTAAGTGCGGGCCATTAATATATAATAATTGCTCATAGTAATTTTTTTTTTATTGGAAAGGAATTGCTCATAATTTATAGTTTTATTTTACTATAAATCATTAAAAGATAATACTCTCTCCGTCCCGTTTGTATGATTTGATTAACAAAGCTTGACTATCATTATTTTTAATTCAATTTTTCATAATATTAAGTTGAGTATTAATATATAAAATTTATATATTTAAAAATTACATTAAAAGTAATATTAAACACAAAAAAATAAATTTAAAAATAATTAAAAATTATTAAAGAAAATAAGCAATGAATAATGTGTTGGTTTGACCAGTAACAGGCAAAATGAGACAGAGGGAGTATATAAGATTTCGCAGGATGATTTATATATGGATTTCATGCATGATTATTTAATTGGGTTTTTTTGTGTGTTTTCGTCTATATATATCATTGGATGATAAATGATTTAGATTGGAGATAGTATTGATGAAAATGATGAGGAAGACTCTAATGGAGACAAGTCTGATGAGGAAGACTCTAATGGTGACAAGTCTGATGAGGAAGACTCTAATGGTGACAGGTCTGATGAGAAAGACTCTAATGGCCAGAAGTCTGATGAGGAAGACTCTAATGACGACAAGTCTGATGAGGAAGACACTAATGGCGACAAATCTGATGAAGAAAACTTTAATGGTGAAAAGTCTGATGAGGAAGACTCAAATGGGGATGATGAGGTGGAATATGCTGAAAACATGGAACTTCTATATCAATTAAAGCGGTTTTCCTTTGAGGTAATTATCTAATTAATTTTGTACGATATGCCTAATTTTCATGAGTCTTCGTAAAATAGTATCATGAATTCATGATGCAATATGTAGTTTACTTAAAACAATTTTAACAGTCTAAAATTTTTCTTTCATTATTCAGATATCATTGGGGATGATGTGTCCAAATAATGTGAATCTACACTCAATGGTAATATATTTTCTAAGAATGTTGTCCACATTTTCCTGGGAAAGCAAGCTTTTGATTATGCTGGCAGCTTTCTCTCTCAATTTCGGAGAATTCAGCCTTGTTCACAGTCACAAGGGATTGTCCGGAAAATTGGCAATTCTCAAGGGGCATGAAAGTCAAGTTTTGCCAATGGTTACACATTTTATGAAATCAATCCTACATTTGACTGAGCATATTATTGAGCTTGCACAATCTTCCTCTCACAATTCATCACCAATCATACTGATTGGTTGCTATTGGATCGTCACAAGTATCCTTACTTATGCATCCTATTTCACTTCTGGCCTTGGGAGTATGCATTCAGGGTAAGATTTAATTTCACTATGTGTACAATATATAATCAATATGTATAAATATAGCGTTTATCATTAATGTTTTCGTTATTATTATAGGTATTTCATAGGTGGCGAAACACAACTGTCCAGTTTAACCATCAAAATCATAGAAATAATCTCCGATTGTCGTCCAATACTAGGTTAGGTTTAATAAATTCAAGTATAGGAAATTAAAGTGTTATTACTTGCTGCAGTGAGTTTAAATTAATAGCTACTTGAATTGATATATGCAGAAGAAAAGAGAGAAGTGGATTCTTACAATGCATTATGTCATGCATTCTTTGATAAGAATCCAATAATCCCCTCCATTTCTTCTAATTTGGATATTTTGAAGTTAGTATTCAATGTCAAGAAAGGTGGGAAACAGAAATTCATATATGATGGCGTTCGCAGAAAAATGGTATGAGCGAGCTTACTCACTTAGCCATAAATTTGAACAATTAATAACTTCTTTGATTTGATTGCTAATTAAGTACTGTATGTATGTACGCCCAATTTGCTTATATATTGATTATGTTAATTGTAAATATAAAATAATATATACAAAAAATTGTGACCTGCAGGTAGACTTGCATGTTTTGAAGAATAAGAGCTTGCTACTGTTAATGTCGTCAAGTCTTGACATTGACATGATGTACTTGATTTTAATACTTAATGACATACAAGAGGATACTCAACTGCATGTACTTTGGATTCCGATATTAGACTCTTCTATATTATGGGATATTAAACATATGGAAGAACAATATAAAATTTTAGTAAATGAATCAAAAATATTCTCGGTGAGAAATGTACAGAAATCAGTAGCACCAAGATTTGTACGGTTTGTTAAAGAGAAATTCTTTCCAGAATTCCAAATAGGAGGTGAGCCTATAATTGTTTCACTAGATCATAATGGAAGGATGGTTCACCGTAATGCAATGCACATGGTGTTGATGAGAGGTTTTGATATTTGTCGAAGGATGTCTGGTGGAATTAAGAGTGGAGATAGCATAATTCCTTTATTACAAAAAATTTTGACCGAAAGGGTTTCGACGGTGAGGGATTTGGTGCCTGGCATTGATAGGAAGATAAGCGAAGTCACTAATAAAGTGGATGGCATAATAAATGATTGGTTCCGTGACATTGAACAGCAAATACAAAATCCGGTATGTTTATTTTAATATATGTTTTATTAGTTCGTTATTTCACATACATATATTTCTTCAATCTAAAATTGTAAATATTCGAGTAACGTAGTAGTATTAACTGCTTATTTTTATGAATAGGTTGATAGTAACATTTTCACAAGTAAAAAGGAAAAAGATTTATGGAAGATAGAAACTTGGTGCACTCAGCTTGTTGCAGCATGTTTCGATGATTACATAACATCCAAGTGGGTATGTACAATGTCACAAATGCAACTACTCTTTCTCCAACTTTATTTAATTTGTCTAATGCCGATTAGAGCCTTTTAAATTATATACAGTTTAATTCTGCATAATATTTTTTTGAAACAATTATGCATAATATTTAATTTAATATAGAGTATTCGTATATAAAATCTATATCTATATATTTAATTAAAAACATTATTAAAATACTATTAAACATAAATGGTTGATCTTTCCCACACTAGTTATGTAATTTATGCTGCGAGTAATTGTTTATCTATTTTCATGTTATAGTATGTTGTTTAATTAGGAGATGAGTGAATTTGCTAACTCATACATTAGCCAAATATGCATGCTCTCAGTTTGATTCTAGCTCCTGGGATATGGATCCTTCCGATTGTACCCATTCTTTACTTGCTTCTTTGTATTAATAACAGCTCTAGTTTTTAATTTCAAAATAATATAAAAAATAAAATCAACGACTGGTTGCACAATCTTTTATATTTTTTAAAATTTATACCATTAGTAATTTTATAGATATATACTAACTTGCATTATATTGTTTGGATTTATCTGCAGATTGAAGAGGACATGTGCATTTTTTTAATTGGTGGGCATGACATACAATGGGTTAAAACATTTGAGTCCAAAGTAATGTTAGAAATTCAGTTTAACCCACAATCAAACACTGAGATGGTCTACGTTGGTAGTAACATGGAAGTAGCATCAATGATTTTTGTAGATGAGAATTGCAGGGTACAAGCTGCTCCTATTTTTTCATGGTTATTTTGGGCACGGATTCAAAGCATATTCATGACGGGGGTTAAATTTATAGAAGAGACGCATGGTGATGAAGAGTGTGATGAAATCTTGCAAGGAGTAAAAAAGTTGCTAGCCTATGAAGCTAACGATTTAGTAGTTAACGAATGGGCTATGCTATGCAAAGGGAACAAGATAGTTGTATGTGACGTAGGAGATAAAATGTTGAAGGTCATGAATGAGTATGACAAATGGAAGGAGAATGCAATAGCTAAAGGCTTTGACCAGGCATTCAAAGATTATCATGATGAGATGTTTGATTCTGCTTCTACTTCACAACATCACCATCATCGATGTGCCCTTAAATACCCATGTAATTTTGATAGTGTCCCACAGAATGTAAAATGCCTTGAATGTTGTCACGGTATGCAAAAATTTGCCACTTTCAAGTGTTGCCACGACAATGTTGTTGTTGATGATGACGACGATTCTGATTAGGGTGTACTTAATTAGTTTGATATTGATCACACTTGATGTATTTGCATATGCATATGAAAGTGTTTTTTTTTTTTTTTTTTTTTTTTTTTTTTGTTACCAACATCATTTGTAATAGAGATATAATTTTTTATGCTGAGTCATCAGTTTATTTGGTTTCTCGTTGTGTTAAATTGCATGTATGGCTTCTCATTCGGATAGGAATTGAAGCATTTTTCAAAGATAATAATTCAATAAAATTTTGAGACATGCATCGACATTACGTACTATAAGACAATATGAATATTTTTATAAAATCAATTTTTAATTTCACTGTATAAAATTATTGATAATATTAACTATGGTTCTACGGACTATTATTATGTTGTTAGCAACCGAGCATACAAATGTTCAGACTCTGTTCGTTTATTAAATGAGCTTTAAAATTTGATCATTTATGTTTTTGTTTACCATAATAAACAAACATCGATAAATTATATCATGCATCGCGGTGCATAATCGATAATGCACCGAGCTTCAAAAGGAAGTCGTTTTGTTTAATAAAAAGAAACGGCACCCGTTCCGCAAAAAGTAACTCTGTTATTCAATTTCATTTTGTATACACTGCAGTTTTAGTTCAACACAACTACAGTTTTATTTCGATATAACTACAGTTTCATTCGATATTTATACACTCAAATATGTGAAAATATTATTTAATTTTATTTTATATACACTATAGATTCATTAAAACACAACTACAAGATCATTTTGATATAACTACAGCTTCATTGAACAATATACACTCAAATATGTGAAATGTTATTCAGTTTCATTTTATATACACTGCAGTTTCATTTCACCACAACTACAGTATCATTTTGATACAACTACAATTTCATTTAATAATATAAAAATAATACGTGAGGCATTGTCGGTTTAGATACACTGTAATGTCTGTTTAGATACACTGTAGTTTCAGTTGGTAATTAACACACCAAAAAATGCGCGTTCCGTTAACAGTAACGGCGCACCATTTCTTTACTTAAAGAAACAGTGACGTTTTGACCGCGATGCACGTGCACTGTGATCCACGGTATAACGACGCTTACCAAATACAAATACAAGTAATTTATGAAAAGCTTTATACGCAAACACTCCTAGGCCCACTCAATTCTCTGTTCCATTACACATCATATCATGATGAATGAATCAAGAAGCAGTAGTTGATGAAGCAGGATCAGTCCACTTTTTGTCAACAGGATGGTAGTTGGAGTTAGTTAATAAGGAAGGGCTTTATGGTCTTTTCCTCCCTTCCCTAGCAGTTATAACTGCCTCATGTGTATATAGCCTATGCTGCGTGTGTCCTTTCTTCTTTTGTAACAAACACAACAGTTCTTCTCATCTTTCATCTTCAATACATTCTTCCCCTTACTGCTTAGCTATCTGACTCCATGAATTCATGCTAAGCTCATCATGGTATCAGAGCGTCACCGAAGTTACGCCGCAGCGGTTGTGATGCCGGATGACGGAGACAGGAATACGATCGGAGGAGCAGAGGCTTCTTGAAATCAAAGTCCGGCGAGTCAAGTTCCGATCAACATCAGTCGGAGAATGGATGAGGTATATGATCCGTTGTACCTCCATATGTCACTGAAAATCCGAATGTGATCCTCGTGTCTCCGCCCCTGTCAGAGTTAAACTACGCGTCCTGGAATCGATCAATGAGGATCGCATTAGGAGTCAAAAATAAGCTCGGTTTCATCGATAAGAGCATTCCAAATCCAGGAGAATCCGATCCTAAATATCCTCAGTGGAAAAGATGCAACGACATTGTTAGGAATATAGCGGAATAATGCGGAAGCGAAGAATCGAAAATTGAGAATTATAGAAGTTAAATAATAGGGAAAATATAAATAACAAATGAAATAATATAAAATGGGAAAAATGAAATATATATATATATATATATATATATATATATATATATATATATATATATATATATATATATATATATATATATATATATATATATATATATATAAACTCTCAAAAGAGAATATATGTTATCTATGTGAGGAAAAAGACAAGAAAAAGAAAGAATTCAATTGATGTATTTTACAAAGCAAAGCTTAGCCTATTTATACTAAAAATTAAGAGACATTTGCGCATGAAAGAAAGGGAGAATGCTGCTACGTGGAGGAGACATAATATGTTACATGGACGTGGACAACATTTTGTGGAAGACTAATTCTGCATGGATTTGAGGCCACAAATATTATTTCCCAACAATCTCCACCTTGGATCAAATCCATATTGGATTAACAATTGGAACAGTCGACTAAACTCAAACACTGCTTGAACTTAGTAACAGGAAGAGCCTCATAATAACAGGATGGATCACCATCAACTTCCTGTGTGACTGAAAGAGTATAAGCAACCATATTGGTTTCATCGTCACTAGCGTACCTAGCAGGTTTTTTAATTGTCCTCCTAGGACGATCCATAGCAATGGAATACTCTCGTTGTGGCTCGACGAGAGGTGCAGTGCTAGTAGATGCATCATCTTTAGTATTACCATTCGTGATAGTAATACTATCAATAGGCCTGAATTCAAACTCCACCTTCTCACCAGTACTCTGCGTCTCATCTGTACTGGGAGCTTTTCCAGAAGAAAGTAGTGCATTTTCGTCAAAAGTGATATCTCGACTCAGAATGATTTTCTGAGAATCAGGAGACCATAGACGATACCCTTTTGACTCAGAGGCATAACCAAGGAAAATGCATTTGACAGCTCTCGGGTTTAATTTACCCGTACTGGAATGAGCATAAGCAGGACATCCAAAAACTCTTAAGATAGAGTAGTCAATAGGATTACCTGACCAAACTTCCTCTGGAATTTTGAAATCAAGGGATGAATGTGGAGATCTATTCACCAAATAGCAAGCAGTAGAAACGGCCTCGGCCCAAAAATCACGCCGTTTCCATAACCCAGCATTAGAGAGCATACAACGAGCTCTTTCCAATAGTGTCCTGTTTAGACGTTCGGCAACACCATTTTGCTGGGGTTTACCAGGCAAGGTCTTGTGCCTGGCGATTCCATTTGCCGCACAGAAGTCATTGAAATCTGACTCACAGAATTCCAAGCCATTGTCTGTCCTGAGCTTCTTGACCTTTTTCCCTGTCTGAGTCTCAACAAGTATTTTCCACCTTTTGAAAATAGGAAAAACCTGATTTTTGTGTTTCAAGAAATAGACCCAAACCTTACGGGAAAAGTCATCAATAATAGACATGAAATATCTACAGCCTCCCATAGACTGGAATTTAGTCGGTCCCCATAAATCGGAATGTATATATTCCAATACATCTTTGGTACGGTGTGTAGCAGTAGAGAAACTAACCCTCTTTTGTTTCCCAAAAACACAATGCTCACAAAATTGTAATTTACCCGTACCTGAATCACCAAGGAGACCTTTCTTGCTCAGGAGATGCATGCCTTTCTCACTCATATGCCCCAGACGCATATGCCATAGTTGAGTGAGATCTGCATCAGACATTGATGAGGATACCGCTACTGAACCTGTCACAGTACTGCCATGCAACACGTACAAGCTTCCAGATCGAGAAGCTTTCATGAGAACAAGAGAGTCTTTTATGACTTTCAGAACTCCACCTTCAGCTATGTACTTGCACCCCAGAGATTCCAAGGTGCCCAATGATATCAGATTGCGTTTCAAATCAGGAATATACCGAACATTGGTAAGAGTCCTGACAACATTATCATGAGTTTTAATCTGAACACTTCCAATTCCACTAACCTTGCATTGGGTATCATTACCCAGCAAGACAACTCCACCATCAACCGGTTCCAGAAAGATGAACCAATCTTTGTGGGGACACATGTGGAATGTACAACCAGAGTCCAAAATCCACTCGGTTTCACTCCGTTTCTCACCGGAGCTAACAGATAACAACACATCACCATCTGAATCACTTTCAACAACACTAGCTTCAGCGGACTTCTTTTCTCTCTCTTGCTTGTTTTTCAACTTGAAGCATTCAGTCACATCATGACCATGCTTCTTGCAGTACTTACAGGATTTGTTGGACTTATGTCCTTTGGACTTGGATCTAGAATTTTTATTGCTACTCCCTGATTCAAGTGAACGACCCCTTACAGTCAAGCCTTCACCTTTGTCCTCAGACTTAATTTCAAAGTCAAACTTTTCTTTGGACAATAAGTTCGACTTAACATTGTCGAAAGTAAGGGTATCACTACTATTACCATACAGCATAATTTCCTTGAAATGCTTGTACGATTTAGGGAGAGAGACAAGCAATAAAACAGCACGATCCTCATCGTCAATTACGACATCAATATTTTCCAAGTCCAATAAAATAGAATTAAATTCATCCAAATGAGATTTAATCGAAGTACCTTCCGTCATACGGATTGTGTACAGACGCTCCTTCAGGCGCAGCTTGTTCGCCAGAGATTTGGCCATATAAAGCGACTCCAGCTCAGACCATAAATCTGACGTAGTCTTCTCACTCACCACCTCACGTAGAACCTCTTTAGACAGGCACAATTGAATGGTTGAACGTGCCTTGTCATCCAAATCTTCCCAATCTTCATCTGTCATTGCGGCCGGTTTCTTCTTCTTCCCAGCTAGCGCTTTCTTCAAACCGTTCTGGGTTAGAACGGCTTCCATCTGAACCTTCCAGATAGAGAAGCTAATTTTCCCGTCGAACTTCTCGATATCGAACTTAGTGATAGTCGACATCTTTGAAAATAATTCTCAAATAAACCGCTCTGATACCACTTGTTAGGAATATAGCGGAATAATGCGGAAGCGAAGAATCGAAAATTGAGAATTATAGAAGTTAAATAATAGGGAAAATATAAATAACAAATGAAATAATATAAAATGGGAAAAATGAAATATATATATATATATATATATATATATATATATATATATATATATATATATATATATATATATATATATATATATATAAACTCTCAAAAGAGAATATATGTTATCTATGTGAGGAAAAAGACAAGAAAAAGAAAGAATTCAATTGATGTATTTTA